TAAAATCTTTCTTAGTGAAAGCATTTCTCACAATCATTTTCATGAAGGAGGAAATCTTATGACACTTAGATTTAAATGGTGTATGTGTTCCTATCCATGTGAATTTGTTAAAACCAAATTTACGACAAATTCAAACTCATATGGACGAACTTTCTTAATCTTGATTTCTTGCCTTATGGTAGCACAGCTGCCCACCACGTCTTCCAAGTAGTTAGCATCTCACCTTTTTATCAATGTACCTTTCATTGATCAAGGTCCTTGCCTTTTATGCATTCAAATGAGAACTCATAGGACTCACATGCATAATTAACTCGATTGGATTGGCACAGAAACAAAATAATGTCTTCACGATAGGTTGTAAACCTCAACTCGTGTGCTAGTGATGATCGATAAGGTTTATTTGATTTGTTCTTGAAACTTTTCAAGACTATTAAGACTCCCACTGACTCCTTGACATATAAGATTCTCTTGTCAATACATTTCTTGACAAACAAATATTCAAGAGTTAGTGTAGCTTTTATCAAAACACTTCATAAATTGGTCCAAGTTGGTCTTTGTCTTATTCCAAGACATCACAACTTTCCACATTTGATGAATGTTATAAACCTTTAATACTTTTCACTCATTGTCACAATCTTAACTTTAAGACTTGTTATTGGAACGAAGTATGATAGACTTCTTGATTTAACCATTTCTTCAATCCTTGATTCCTCTTCTTAACATACAATTGTACTACTCACTTAGAGGATCAATTGAGATATGGTTCTTAATCATTAAGACCTATCATAAAGCATAAAAGGTACTCTCCCTTCTTCTTAGAATGGAGAAACTTTTATCTTTCTACTTGACTCTTCTTATTCGTTCTGCTATTGATTTAAACCCTTTAATCAATTCAGAATTACACTTAATCTTAAGCATAATCATATTTACTAAACCTTTAGTAAATCATGACGAATATCTTTGTTACTCTTATGGTGAACTGATCAACACACAACTTTGTGTACTCGATCTCCTAGTCCTTCACTTGACACTTTGTCAATGAATTAGTCTAATTTCCAAATACGAAATTTCTCATTCATCGTGCATCCACGTTGCATGATTCCAAGTTTCTGTCCAATTGAAACTTGGGCGATGAGAAACTCTCCCTATTTGGTAAATTCTTGACATTTCCATAAATAACATAACTAAGAATCATATCCATTCGTTGTAGAAATATGCAAACATCAATTTTCATAACAATTTCATTGCAAGGAAGTAAACAAATAAATAAGTTAAACAAAATTTGTTTTATTTATAAAAGCAGCGGAAAAACATTTGTCCTTACAATGCAAAATCTATTGAAAACTATGTAAAAAGAAAATTTCTAACAACTCTATCATAACTATCTAAGCTCAAAATCCAATCTTCAAGTCCATGAGATCGAGATCCATCTTTTGTGATTAGATTCATCTTGCTCTCTTATCAAGCTTCCTTTCTTTTCACCGATCCTTCAAAACATTCAAATGCAATCTTATCACATCATGTATTAAGAATCAATGAATAGGAACTTAATGGAGTTAGATAGTGGATTCTTACCTAAAGCGTAGTCATACTTTTGACTCTCCCATCTCTTAGATCTCTTAGGTAAATAGGGCAACTTCGTTTCCAATGCCCCTTCTCTTGGCAATAAAAGCAAACTGACTCCTTTGGAACAACACATGGAACTACCTCAGACATCGCCTTTCTCTTATGATCAAACTTTTCGATCATTGCATGTCTTTCATTGCCATTGTCTATATCCATAGAGGTCTTGAAGGCAGATTCACCAATCAACTTTGTTTTTCTATTGCGCCAAACCATTGCTGATTCAGCAACAATAAGCATATAGGTGAGATCCATAAGGGTCACGTTGTAGCTCATCATATAGTACTCTCTTACTAACTTACTATATGAGTTGGGAAGTGACTGAAGAACCCAATCAACAGCCATTTCCTCACAGACAACGGATCCTATCAATGTGTGACTTCATCCCTAAGACGTGTGCACACACGGACTTTCCCTTTTTACGTTTACTTGCCAAACGGGCTTGAGTGATATTGAACCTTTCAATTTTACAATCTTATGGGTTAGGGAGAATAATTGGAGGAGGAGGAGGAAGTGAAGCATGATTTCTTGTTCCTCGATCGAATCGTGGAATATCATCTTCATGTGGAATGCTTGTTCCACGGGATTTGAGAAGACCATAGTTGTCGAACTTTGACATCGGGAGAAAAACGGAATTCAAGTTAGTTGATTGATTGAGTCCTTGTAAATCACCCAAATGAAATTAAGGCTAGGACCCAACACAATATCCTACAACTCGGGAGAGGGATGCCGTAACCCAAATCGCAGAACATTTGAAGGTAAGTGAATGACGATTCACTAGTTTCCACCATGAAAAACGAAAAGAAATTTAAGTTTTAAATCTATGAAAACTCCTAGATCCTTTGAGATTCATTGAACATTTCAATGGCATGTTTAAATCTCGATATGCCCCTCTTGTTGTGACTGGGATGCCGAGGATCACAAAGCGGGTGTGAATAACCATGCAAACTACATGGTGCCCTCACATGTTACAATCACCTATTCGATGTGCCGGTAAACCACACACGCTCCACCGAACTATGACAAACATTGAGTCACCCTTTGCTACCTTTGCTTAGAACCATTTAGTGTGCCGGTAAACCACACACGCTCCACTAACGTCTTCGCAAGGGCACAAAGTGTAATTTCATGGAATTGCATCAATTCACTTTTGCCTAAGTAACTAAGATTGGGAATTTGAAAAACATTTAGTTACTTGTATTTCATTATACTTATAATGGAAGGTTTCGTCCTATCCTACCCGTTCGGCTAACGACCCTCCACTAGTCAAGAGTGCGGTGGGTAAGAGTGGATACCCATTCAATCGCCATTTTATAGGCAATTTCCTTAAACACCCCTTATAGACCAGCTTCGTGAATGAGGCCTACTAACGGTAAGACTGACTTTTACTCATACATATATATAATGTTAGACTTTTAATGTTATATATAGTATAGGGTGTATTTTATACTTTTAAAATACTATATGGTTAACTTTAACAATTACACTTTTAATTCAATTAAAAGGTTAACCTAAACTTTTATGGATTTATTAAATCTCTTTTAATTATACACCTTAATTAATTAATAAAACCATAAGGGTGTGATTTGAACTTTTTCAAAACATACAGAGTTTTAGAATTTAACATTTCTAATTAACCTTTTAATCAACCTTTAAATTCCAAAACTTGAGGGCAAGTTTTGAAACATTTCAAACCATAAGGGTTTAGAATTTAAATATGCATCAAAATTAAACTATTCAATCAAAACCAAAACTTGAGGGCAAGTTTTGAAACCTTTTTCAAAACATTAGGGTTTTAACTATTTAAATTTCAAAACAACAAAACTTTTGGGGTTCAAATTTAAACTATAAAACCTAAAGGGATAAATTGAAACTATTTCACAAGATAATTCAAATCTAAATTACAAATAATCAAACTTTATCTAATAAAACAAGTGATTATCTAAATTTTGACAATTATCTTCTATTTAGGTAAGGATAATCACATAATAATGAAAAAATTCGGATTTTATCACAAAAACGAGTTTATGGTAATTATCCAAAACCAAAACAGGAAGAAAATCGCGAAAACGAGCTGTCAGACACTTTGACTCGTCGAGTCTGGGCTTGGACTCGTCGAGTTCAGCTGACTCGGCGAGTTCACCAAGTGACTCGGCGAGTCAAACCTTCAAAACTCAAAAAATCGATTTTCAGTGCTTATTACGATCAAATATGCATCAATACAATAGAAACCAATCAAGGCTCTGATACCACTGATGGGTTTTGGTCATAAGACATCCTATGTGCTCATACAAACCCTAATGCTTGGATCTAGGTTTCTCTATTGTACATGCTTTGAATCCAAGACTATAAACCCTAATTCTAGCATACAAGTAATCATATTAATATGTAATTAGGTTTAAGAACATACCTTGATTGTTATGTAGCAATAACAATCACAACTCCACCTTGGATTGACTTTGGAATGCTTAGAGTCACAAGTGTCACTCCTCTAATGGCTTACAAACACCATAAGCAAATGGAGAAGGTATAAAGAGAGAGGTGAGAGGTTAGAATTCGTATCTAGGACCTCTTGGGAAGGGATACACGAATTCATGACCCTAGGGGTGTTTATATAGGTGTAGAGATAGGGTTTCAGTCATTATCCTTATCTAGTTGATTATCCATTAAGCAACCAATAAGATAATCCTTGAATCCTTATCATACTCGAATTCTAAGGGATTTACACCTCAAATTCGTTCACCATATATATAAGATAATCCTTACCTTATTTTGTAACTATCACATAATTACAAATCAGCCCCTCTAGTTTAATTAATTACATTTGATCACAAAACTAATTCTTAATTAATTATTGACCAATATTAATTAAACAAATATGATTTCTCCTTTAATATATTATTCTTATAACATATTAATAAATCATATTATCCTCTCTCTCTTTATTCATTTCTCCAATCAAGTTGCTTTGGTGAAGGCAACCCAAAAGGACCATGCACCATCGGGTCAAGTACATACCAAAATAGTTATGGACTTAGACACTAATCCAACAGTTTTAATCAAGAAAATTTTGTTAAAAATATAATTATACACAATGCTTTAAAAATCGGTTTAAACTGGCTGGTAAAACCGATTGGACCGGGAACCGAATAAATGATTGGTTCAATTATCACTAGTTTTATGTCTATTTTTGAACTAGAACGACGAACCGTCAATTTTTACAAAAGTCCGGTTAAATTACACCGGTTGAACAAGTTAAATTGAATAAAACACATGAAAGAAAACTATTTTGCATAATAATTTTTGTGATTTTTTTTCACATTTATTTATATTTCTTCAAATAAAAATATATGGTAAATGTTATAAAGTTTTTTGATGCATTTGTATTTATCTAAAACTATATTTTGTTTCGATATTATATTTTAGACAAAATTGCAAAAATGGTCCCTGTGGTTTGCATTTTTTCAGGAAAAAAGTCCACACCACGAGTTTTTTGGTTTTGTGGTCCTTTTGGACTGGTTTGTTTGTGAGAATGGTCCCTATACTTAACACCCGTTAAAAAAAATCCGTTAACCCCCTCATGTGCCTTGCACGTGAGGGTATTTTTGTCTTTTTACTTACAGTGTCAACACTTCCTTCTACCTTTTATCCCTCATTTACAATCCCAAACACCCGTCAACTCCCCACCTCCCTCCTTCTTCCTTCTGCTCCATTAAACCTGCAAAAAAAAAAGTCGTTATCGAAAGAACCTAATCGAAGCAAAAGGAGACAAGGTCATACTTTAAAGTCGAAATGGTGTACGTAATGTGGCAGATCAGACCAAAAAATGAAGTTGTCGACGTATCATCCTTATATGGTAAGTTGCTCTGTTTTCTTAAACATTCCTATTTTTCATTTTACCCTTGATTTATACTAAAATCCGCCAAATTTTGACTTTGTTATCATGTACAATTTTGACTTGTAGCGGGTGCACCCACATGGTTTAGTATTAAGCTTCATCATGGTGGGAAGTTTACTAAGTTACCTGACATAAAGTATACTGGAGGTGAAGTGCGTTATGTTGATTATGTGGACATAGATGAGTTTTCTGTACATGAACTTGATGCCATAATGCTTGACCTAGGTTACCCAGACCCACGGATGATTGAATTGAGTGTTGAATCCCCAGTGATATACTACCATTTCAGGATACCCAATGGTGACTTTCAATTTGGTCTTAGAGCTTTAGGGAATGATCAGGATGTTATCAATCTTTCTAAATTTATTCAAAATAACAAGTTGATTGAAGTGTACACAGAACATGGGAAGACAAATCTACTCACATACTTCATGTCTCCAAATGCAAAGGGTAAAGTTGTCATTGAGGAATTACCAGAAAATGATGATCAAGGGGCTAAATATGAGGCTGAAGTTCATGTAGAATCTCCATTGAGAAATATGAACCATGTCAATGATGAACCAATTGGTGAGTACATGTCTTTGATTCTTTTTGGGAGTAAAACTGATGCATTCTCTCCAGAGTATAGAAGGGGTAGAGTTGGGAATTCAAAAAGAGAGGAAGGTTCTTGTAGCAAGAGGCTTAATTTAGAGGATATTGATGATTTAAAAGAGAAGGAAAACACTAATGAGGGTGTTAAGGAGGTTCATGAGGCTGCAACTGTTGTTGAAGGATGCTACAATCCATTTACTTCAAATATTGCTAATGTAGGGGATGAGATGATTGGGGTTCATGATAATGACCATATTGATGGATGCTACAACACCCCACCCATTAATGATGATGAACAATATAATGAACTTTTTGACAACCTTATGGAAAATTTAAATGGAAGTGATGAGTATGTTGAAGAGTATGAAGGGGATGTTGAATCTGAAGAGAGTGATGAAGAGTATGAAAAGGATGAAGGTGATGATCATGATGGGAAACAATCAGAAAATGAAGATAAAGTGGATGACATAATGGATGAGGAGAACAATATAGAAGATGTTGATGTGGACATGGCAGACTTCTTTGTAAATGTTGAAAGTGATGTTGAAGGAGCATGTATTAATGATGGTCATGAACCTGAAGATATGGAAGTGATCAACAATGAGGAGTTCGAATCATTGGATGAAGGATCAGACCAAGACAGAGAAAGAAGAGCTCTCATAAGAAATTTGGGAAAAGAAAAAAGGTGCAACCTTGGGTCAGTACATATACAGTCATTCTCAGTGGGGCAAAAGTTTAAAAGTAAAAAAGAATTAAAGGAGTTAATTGATGTGCACGCACTAGAAACAAGAAGGAATCTATTCTTTAAAAAAAATGACAGTCAAAGGCTTAGGGCACAGTGCAGAGGAGTTGTACCTGTCATCAATAAAGGTCAAGTGGGGACTAAACCTACCACTTCAAAAAGCAAGGGCAAAGAAGTAAAGACACAAAAAGAAACATGTGGTTGGTATATACATGCATCTAGGTCAAACCCCGAATCTGATTGGTTTATAAGGACCTTAAACCAAACTCATACATGCTTACAAACAAGAAAACTCAGAGCTTGTACTGCTTCTTTAATCTGCAAGAAAATCATAGATCAAGTTGAGGCAGATCCGAAGATTCCTTTGAGAGCCATACAAGATCACTTTCAAAAGACCTACCAGGTGGGTATTTCAATGGATAAGGTGTTTAGGGCAAAAGATATGGCAAGAAAGCATGTAACTGGGGACTACACAAAACAGTTTGAGTTGTTGAGGGACTATGCTCTTGAACTTCAAGCTACAAACCCAGACACAACAGTCAAAATAGATGTGTGTCCTAATGGCAACCCTGCATCCCCAACAAGGCAGTTTAGAAGGATTTATGTATGCTTGGGTCCACTGAAAAAAGGTTTCAAAGCATGTCTTAGAGACTTAGTAGGTTTGGATGGTGCCTTCATGAAAGGCCCATTCCCTGGTCAGGTTCTTACAGCAGTTGGTCTAGATTCCAACAATGGAATTTATCCCTTAGCCTATGCAATTGTTGAGTCTGAAAACACAGCTAGCTGGAAGTGGTTTTTAGAAAACCTTGGGGATGACTTGGAGCTTGGGAGCAACTCAAACTATACTTTCATAAGTGACAGGCAAAAGGTAAATTAAAACTCATCAATTGATCATTTAGATTGTGTTTTTTTACCAAGAAATTAATTCTAATTATTGTATGTTGAGTCATGTAGGGATTACAAATTGCAGTTGATCAATTGTTTCCCAATGCTGAGCATAGGTATTGTATTAGACATATTCATGACAATATGAGAAAGAAGTGGGGGCAAACTGAGTACAGGGACCATTTATGGAGGTGTGCATCAGCAACCACCATTCCTGAGTTTGAACATTTGATGAAAGAGTTTAGTGAGTATGATAAGGAGGCATGTCAATGGTTGAAGCAAATTCCTCCTGTACATTGGGCAAGGAGTCATTTCTCAGGTAATTGTATATGTTTGCATATGGTAAAGATTATGTGTTTCAGTTATTTATCAGCATTAATTGTATGTTATTGTAATGTGCAGGAAGAGCTGTTTCTGATGTGTTGATTTCAAACATGTGTGAAGTGTTTAATGGGAAGATAGAGAAAGGCAGGGACAAACCTGTAATTTCATGTTTAGAGTTCATTAGGGAGTATCTAATGAAGAGGATATGCAATGTCATGAAGGCAATGAAGAAGGCTAAAGGTCCACTAACACCTACAGCAACAGACATCCTAGATGCAAGGAAAAAAGGTGCTTCACAATATATTGCTAGGTGGAATGGGGCAAACAAGTATCAAGTCACTGCAGCATTGCAAGATCAACATGTGGTGGATGTTAGGAACCAAACCTGTACTTGCAGAAAGTGGGAATTAATGGGAATACCTTGCAGGCATGCAATTGCAACTCTGAATGAAATGAGCAAAGACCCTGAGGCTGAGCTTGACATTTACAAGTGGGTACACAAGGTGTATTGGCTAGAGACATGGCAAAAAGCTTATTCATTTAAGGTGGAACCAATTAAAGGGAGACCCATGTGGCCTAAAAGTAATTGTCCAACAAAGCTAATCCCTCCTCCACATCACACTCAGGTGGGAAGGCCTAAAAAAAAAAGAAGACAAAGTGAGGGTGAAAGGTTAAGCAAAAGGCAGAAGGCAAGTGAAGGTGATGGAGTCAATGAGATGCAAGGAGAAAATTCCCAAGGGCCAAGAAATGATGGAGTGCAGAAGCTATCAAGGAAACATGTTAGTGTTACTTGTAGCAAATGCAAGAATAAAGGACACAACTCTAGGACCTGTAAAGGGCAAGGAGGGAATCAATCTAAGAAGTGATTGTGGTTATTTGTTGTGGTGCAATGACTATTTAGTTTCTTGTTGTTAAAAACTGTTTGTTTTTGAAAACTTTAGTTATGGTTTGATGATGTGGTTATGTATGGTGCACAGACACTTGTATGCTTAACTTGGTAATGGTTTTTGGTTCCACTCATGTGGTTAATGGAATGTTCATTTTGGTAAATTTATGACATGTATTTTGGTAATGTACTTTTGTTACATTTTGGTTCTATTTATGTGCTTATATCTGACAACTGATACACATTTTGAACACAACTGATACACATTTTGGAATTCATTACAAACATGATGAAGTCAAATTACAACAAAATTATACCATTTTTACCCTGCATCACTTGATCAACAAAAATCCCCACATTTGCCTAACCCTATCCCTTACATAGACCAAGTACTAAAGATAACAATCACAAACATAAACCAACTTGCACATAAATACATCTTCAGCTTGAAACCTTCATCCTTCAATGCATCACACCTTGCCTCCAACATGTTGTTCCTGCTCAAAAGTCCATTGCACTGTTCCTGTAACATGTTGATACTTCTTACCAGCCCATTACATCTTTCCTCCAATGTATTTATGTTTCTTAGAAGACCAGGTATGATGGTTTTACTCCTAGCACAAATAGGTGGGTCAACCCACCCGATAAACCCACAAACAGAATCCTTAGTAGGGCAAGCATAAAACCTCCTGCCGGGATTCAGTGGTGTCCAAGACGTTTTCACCAAAGCAAGCTTTCCACAAAAACAAACCACCATTGTTCGATTGCAAGTCAGGAAAGGAGAAATGGAAGATAATAGTCGTTGGGGAAGAACAGTTAAGAACGTTGGGGAAGAAGATTTGTTGGGGAAGAAGCTGGGAAAAGAAAACGATATATAAAGGATGTTTTATTTTTCCATATGCAAAAATGGTCCCTATAAGTAAAAGGACAGAAATACCCTCACGTGCAAGGCACATGAGGGGGTTAACAGATTTTTTTAACGGGTGTTAAGTATAGGGACCATTCTCACAAACAAACCAGTCCAAAAGGACCACAAAACCAAAAAACTCGTGGTTTGGACTTTTTTCCTGAAAAAATGCAAACCACAGGGACCATTTTTGCAATTTTGTCTATATTTTATTTTCTTTTTAATGTGTGTAGATTGATATAAAATTATGATTATGTGTTATTTTAATGTATTTGAATTAATTTACAACTTGGTTTTATATGTATTTTTAATATTTGAATTTGCGGACGTCAAATTCTTGATTTATGTATGTATGTGTATAAAAACAAATTTTTTTTATAGAAACCGGTTTACCTTGAAGTCGAAAACAAAAAAGTGCGGTATTTTTTAAATATTTTGAAAACTTCGTTATGTTTTTTAAGTTATTTTTCTGCTTACCTGAAGTAACTGTTTACCACAAGATTTATTTGTATTAAAAAAGCAACAATAATATTTTTTATAAATAATATTTTTTTAACTGGATAACATGATGGTTACCTTTTTATGTATTAAAAAAATAATAGTATTTTTTATATATTTTTATAACCGAGACAATAGTCCGTTAATGATATCCTATTTTTATGTATTAAAAAAGTAAGAATAATTTTTTTTGGGGACATTTTGACAACTAGTTTACCTTTTGAAATAATTGTTCTCTAAAACAGGTCTTAGAAAATTGACAGGTTATTTTCTAATACAATTATTTAAGAACCTTTTTCTCGTCATTATCTATTTTTTGATTTATAAATTATAATAATTGCCAGGTGGTGCTACAGTGCCCGCCACCGCCCACCAACCGCTGCGGCGACGCCGCTTCCCCCAAATGAACTTAAAATCCTTTTCAAGCAAACTCGACCTGCGTTTGTGAATAAACTGAAATATATCGAAGGGAAAAGACTAGCATTTCATCGGTAGACTCGTCGATCATCTACATTTTGGGGAATGGAAGCTTAGTTTTCGAAGTGTAAATTGCAATCTGCGGATTCCAGAAGAAACACCTTATGCTTCTGAAGAGTGCGAATTATCGAATATGTCTTCTTAATCAATTGCTACTTTGCTACTCGTTCTAAACCCTCACTTCCGCGAAGGAAAACAAACCGATCGCCGATACGATTCCAATGCATATCCAACAGCTACATCTCAAGGCTGAAGAACTACAATCTCGACCTTCCAGGTATTCTTCCGTGAATCGAAATCACATAAACTGCAATAATTTGTTGATTTACAGAAGCATACATGTTTTCGGAAGTAAAGTGTCCATCATTCACTCGATCTGTTACACAACACATCGATACACATTGTTTGAGATGATTTCTTGTAATTACAACATAACATTTTACATCTTAATATGCTGCAAGTCATTCTAAGCCACTAATCTCGATTTTGCTTTGAACCGAAACAATCAATTTTTGGTCCTTAATTCATTTTGATTCATGGTTTATACCTCCTAAATTTCATGGACCCCATAAATGTTACTTACTGATACCAAATTCAACCACAGCAGGCATGACAAATTCCATTCAACCTTGTCATCTTTCACAGAGAAACTAGATTCAGGTCTACCCATGGGAAGTACTATCTTACAGGTAAATGTCAATATTCTGATAATCTCTTAATTGAATATTATCTTTCCTGAATTTTTTGAGATTCATTGGTCTTCCAGCATCCTGATAAAGGTAGTAGGGAGCATACTAGGTAACTTTTTAGTTTATTTTTATATATGAATAAAAAGTAAGCTGAGTAGAAGCCTAGAATATATAACTTTTATTGTCAAATATATGCCATTCAAGTATTCAACCATGTGGTAGTCATTATTGGAATCTGAAAAAGCTGTTACTTCCCTTTTTGGATGCTCCTCAAGTGCATATAGGCCAGTGATGTTTTGTCAGTAGATATGTCGATATTGCACTTATGGTGTATACTGTCTCCTTGATTCCAGCCCTAGAGTTTTAACTGGAGTTTCATCAAAATCATAATGAAATTTCCTGCAGTAAATAGTAATCTACTATTCAATCAAAGACATAAAGTTCATTTAAAGGTTTCCATTTCACCAACATTATGTGGTTCAACTTCTCAATCATTATTACTATAAAGATTCCAATTCCACCTATTTTTTCTTCAGTTTTTTCTTTTTTTCAGTGACAACTTTTTAAAGATAACACACTAATTAATATGCAAATGACTATAGAATTATGATCCTTTTGGAATTTCGAAAATAGTACCATTGATGAAGCTCAATTGTGTATCCATAAACTCATGAAACTTGATTCAAATCCTTTTTAACTTGTATAAATGACTGAAATACCCTTTCGAAACCTATTGTTAGCACTGCACTATGCTGCTTTCTTTGTTTTCTGTTATTAAATTTATCTTTTCACCTAAAGATAGTCTTAAAGAAGTTTCATGAACAAGAATTATTAAAAGGGTAATTTAAATACTTGGACAAGTACTTAAAAAAGCTTCTTGATCGAGAAATCAGTTACATTCTAAATCATTTGATAGATTTAGAACTTAGAAGCCAAACAAAATCTACAAAGTGTGAAAATTTCACTCTAGATTGTGATGCAAATGTCATTCAAGTCATGATATAAGTCATTAGAAAAGAGTAAAGGGAAAGATTCCAAGTGGAGAGACATTTTGGCATTTAATGAAACAAATTCCACTATTTTCATGATAATGCCAAGTCACCCTTGACAATGAACTTTATAAGTATCTTATAGTTGTTGATGTAGTCCAATAATACATTATATCATCATGATTTTATAACTTGATTGGAAGAACAAATGTGGAATCTATTTTGATCCCATGTGATTATTATACTTTCCCTTACTTCATAGTTTCAAACATATTAAAATTAGTTTTGAAGTTTGAACTTTTTTAAGTATTTTTATTGTGTAAAAACACTCCTACAAGCCTACATAAACATGAACAACTTGCTTTATTATTTGTGTGTGTGTGTGTGTGTATTTACAATATCCTAATAAGAAAAATAATTAAAGATTGGAGATTTCTCAAAGTAAAATGCCTTAATAAGAAAAAAGGTTGTAAATGTGACTTTGACTTTGACTTTTGGAGTAAAAAGGCTATATTTAGCTTGTAGATTGATTTATATATTTATTTTACAAATTTACAAAGAATCAAAGAACTTAATAACTACATTACACAATATAAACAACACTATGTCAGAAAGAAAAAGATTTTCTTATAACTTTAAGATAATTTACATCAATTTAGAATCAATTAAGTGGCTTTTTGACTTTAGTATTCGAATCAATAACCACTTAATCTCAAAGAATGAACTTTGACTCTTCCAAGAAACTTTGTTGACCACCCGAATTCCCAATTTTCCACTTCAAGTAAAAAAAGAAAATCCAAGTCAACTCCCGTGATACTTTGAGTCAATGATACGGAGGTCATGATTTTTTTTTTTTTCTTTTTCTTTTTCAAATTCCTCCACTACCACACGTTCCTTTGAAAGGTCATTTTCGACTTTTCAAAATAATAATTATGATTTATATTTTTTGGTCATAAGTCGAATATACCCTTTTGAAAAATTCTGTGGCCAGGAGCAAGGATTGCTAATGGGTCATAAGCCATTTTCCTCCGTTGAAAAGTCTCCCATGTTTGACCAAAGTGGGCCCTCCACTCATCTTGTGTGTGAAAATGTGGTAAATATTGTTTGACTCCTAAGTGGGCTTCTTTGCAGAAATCCAAGATTTTTTTATTCTGACTCAGTAAGTGTTGTAGACTATCTTTTCCTTTGGTGGATAAAGGATTTGCTTGTGATAGAAATGCCACTAAGTAGAATATATCTTCATCTGGTATTACTGCTGAACTCCTGTTGCTCCATCTAAAAAAAAAAAAGTTTACATAAGTTTCACTTCACCCCCCTGCAGACTTTTTCCTTTGCAAAACTACCCCCTCCGCTTCACTAAATGTTTGTAAGGAATTGAGTCTCTCAAATCGTGAAATTAGTTTAGAAAAATTAATAGTTTTACATTTTTATTTATTGTAAACCTCAAATTTATTTTTTGACTGAAAAAGACCTTGTATATTTTTATTTTTTCCGAAAAAGCCCTTAACTTTGTATTTTTCTTGAAAAAAACCCTCAACCTTCTAAATGCTTCCAAATAAACCTTCGGTTTTTCTTGAAAAGACTCACGTTTTACCATTTGTTTTGGAAAAAAATGTCTATAAGGGCCAAATTGGAAAAAAAATGAAAAAAATAAAAGGTCTTTTTTATAGGAAAAAAATAAGTTTGAGGTTTAATCTGGAAAAAACATAAAGTGTAAGGTCTTTTATGAGATTAACCCTTTTATGTATTGTAATTATATATAACTGAATTTTTGTTGTTATTTATTTCAGTATGTATTATAGGGTTAATCTTATAAAAGAATTTATATTTTGTGTTTTTTCCGGATTAAACCTCAAGTTTATTTTATTTTTTTCCTGAAAAAGACCTTAGATTTTTTCATTTTTTTTTTCAAAAAGGTTGAGGGTTTTTTCGGGAAAAACTAAAAATGTTGGGGGTTTATTCGGAAACAGTTAGAAGGTTGAGGGTTTTTTTCGGAAAAGAAAAAGACAAAGTTGAGGGTTTTTTTTTTTGGAAAAAAATGAAAAAACACAAGGTCTTTTTCAGGAAAAAAAGACAGTTGAGGGGTTTTTTTTTTTTTTTGGAAAAAATGAAAAAACATAAGGTCTTTTACAAGATTAACCCTATATTACAAGGGTATTCTTGTCTTTCGATAAAAAAAAATTGAATCTCACATTTCAATTCCTTCATATTCCGTTAGAATACGTAAACAAATGATGAATGTAATGTATATAATAACTAATAATAATAACCCAGTTCCATATATTCAACATTCATCATTCTGTAATTTTATAAAGTAGAGGGGTTGATTTGCCAATCTGAAATAGTACAAGGGCTAAAAAAAATTACTTTGATTTGTTGACTGGGTAAACAAGGACAGGCCCATTGCTTGTATCTGCTAAAATCTTCCCAAAAACTTCATCACCAAATCTCTGAATTTTACTACTTGGAACAAGAAGATTTAGCCATGGATGTGGAACATCCCATAACCCTTTCGCTTGTAGTTTTATCTCTGCTGTATGTACTCTATCCAAAAACTCTATATACGTAACTTCAGTCATAAAAACTGTTGACGGAATATACCTCAACTCAGATAACATGCTCTCAATTTCCTGTTATCAATTTAAATCACTAACACTTTAATAAATCAAAAATCAAAACTCGTTTGTATTTGGTTCACATTTATCTCACCTCATAAATCTCACCAGCGTTATCTGATGGATTGAAATATTTCGCCAACTCAAGGCAAAAAAGTGTTTTTCCTTCTGACTTAAATTGACTTGCTTCATCATCATCTTTTGGGTTAAAAGATGATCTCCAATTATTGAGAAGACCTGTTCTGTTTATAATTACAAGTCCTTCTATGTAATCGAATGATTTTTTTGCTGATATTAATCGCTCTTGATCTCGAGTAAATGTCGAAAAATCTGAATACAACACTCTGATCCATTTCACCTGTTGATATTGGATTCAATTATTAGGTAAAAAAAAATATTAGTTTCCAAATCAAACCACAAAATTGCTCAAATATAATTCAAATATTCTCTAAACTTTTAGATTTTGAAAATTTCCAGGCGAATTTAAAAAAAAAAAAAAACGTAACGTACTTTTGCGGTTTAACCACTTTTACTTTATTTTTTCTGATTAAACCATACAAAAGTTTCCAACGTTTTTCCAAATTAATCATTTTGACCAAATATAGGTCTCACTATAATTAACAAAAAGTAACCATTTTGACCTGTTATATCATACATGACTATATCAAAGTCAAAACAGTCGAACTGAAAAATGTACGAAACCTTTATAAAAAAAACTAAGTATAAATCCTTAAACCGCAAAATCCCCCTTTTTTATTTTCCCATTTTTTTTTTAATTGCATCAAAAAATAAACAAATTACCATTTCCGCAGCCGGTTCAAGTAAAATCCTTGCCCGTGTAATTATCCCAAACTGCCCAAGCCCTCCAAGAACACCATTAAAAAGATCCGCATTCTTTTCTTCTGAACACGTCACCACCTCTCCCTTTCCTTCATCATATTACATAATTACTCATTACATTTTCTAATTTTTATAACAAAAAAAAAAAAAATTCATTTTTATATTTTTATATTTTATACAAACCTGTAACAACTTCAAGCTGTTGGACATTACTAATCTGAGGACCATGCCGAAACGCCTGACCACTAATCCCCGCATTCGACAACGTCCCTCCAACCGTCAAATGCAAATAATCAGTCCAAGATTTTGGCGCGAATCCAAACTTCAAACTCTCCTTCAAAATATTTATCCACAACTCCCCTCCCGAAACATCAACATATCCAAAATCAAAACCAAATTCAAATTCCATTTTCGGTTTCTTCAACGACTCCATATTCACCACAATCCCTCTGTGCGCCTGAGCCTGACCCTGAATCGAGTGTCCGTGCCCCCTGGCCGCAACCGTGAGCCCAGACCCAACCCCGAGGTCCCACACATGGCTCACGGTTGCAGATATGTCAGACACTGACTCAGGGTGCAGGACTGCAAAAGGAAGGAATTGAAATTGGTTTCCGTAATCTTTCGCGGCGAATTCGTTGTTTGTGAAAGTGAAATGCCCGTCGATACGTAAATCCGGGAGTGAAAATTGGGTGTTGGAAAAACAGAGGTTTAGTTGGATTGCTAAGAAACTTAACAACATGATTGTGAAACTAATGCTTCTTATGAAGAATGATAAAGATCTCATTCTTTTTTTTTTTCTGGCTAGAAATAAAGAAAAGAGGAGGGGATTTAAAGAGATTTGATAAGGATCCGTGTGTAGACTGTCTCCTTTAAAAGTTTCTGACTCCCAAGGGGGTGCCTTTTTAGCTTCCTTTTTCATGGAAAAAGTCACAAGAAAAAAGAAAGATTTTGCAATCTTTGCACTTATTTGGTTACAGTTACAACCATATTTTTAACTTCCTTTTTACTATCTATTTGCCAATTTTTAGGAAAAAGATACATTCTTACATAGTTACAGGTGTCTAAAGATTAGTCGCGGTTTAGTTTTAGTTTTGATTTGCTGGAATTAAAATGGCATTGTGGGGTCCACGAAATCATGCGAATTTCAATAAAGTTTTTGGGACCTCTTTCAACCAATGGTGTATGGACAATTGAAGAGATGACAGGTCATTAGAAAACATAGATATCTGTTGCCCATAATCACCCATGCTTTAGTTTTAATCCAAGTAAGAAAGTTACATCCTTTTTTAGCATCTTACTTTTATATAGTTTAACATGCTTCAATTTACTTGTATAAAATATTGCTATTTTACTTTTCATAATACAATACATTTTTTGGTTCATAAGTATAATTGAGTTTTGAAATTTTGGTCTCAAAAAGTTTTCTCTTGCAATTTTGGTCACAAAAAGATGGTCATTTTACCTTGAACAGGGACCAAAAATGTTACAAGAACCTCAAATAAGGGCCAAAATGTCAGAAGAAAAGGTTTATGGACTAAAATTGAAAAAAACTCAATAATAAAAAATGTTATTACTATGTTTTCTTATTAAATGGGTGAAGTGTTTAATGTTCAATGCTTAGGAGAAATGAAAGCAAGAAGCTATAAAATTTAAGAAAGTACGTTGCTATTTCTTGGCTTTAATTCTTTTAAAATTGTAAAAAAAACAAATGGTGAAGTTTGGGGTGTAGTGCTTTGAATGATGTTGCGACATATATATGTTTTTTTATGGAATATTTAATGCTGAAAGTTGTCCATTGGATGCTAAGATCCATATCTTGTCCCTCCTTACCACAACACACTTGACCCTTTTTCCTTTGTGGGCTATGTTGTGTGAAATCTCAACCATCAAACCCTACTCCCATTTTGTGGTCCAAAACCTAATTTGACCTAATTCTCTACATACTCACCGACCATTGACAAAACCAAAACAAAACAAAAAAAAATCTACAGTCTGCAGTGTGAGAGTTTCAGTTCCAATAAAGTAGCCTTCTTACAGGCACTAGGGGGTCGCCGTTAGGGCTGTCAAATCGGACATTCGTGTCGTGTTTTGTCTGACACGACACGACGCGACAATGTTTTGGATAACATGAACACGACACGATGTCGTGTTTTTTTTCATTAACACGAAAACGAATCAATTAAAACACGACAACAGGACACGACACGACAAATATAATATTACATAACTATTAGTGTATTTCGTTCATACTTAAAGATATATAACAAAACAAAAACGAAAAACACGATAGCCACATGCTTAATCGTGTCAATTTCGTGTCGATTTATGAAAACGAACACGATATGGCCCGACATCGTATTTTTTTAATCTTGACACAAAAACGACACGAACATGAATTCGAATTTTGATTTCGTCCCGATTTCGTTTCGTTTTGTGTATTTTTGTCGTGTCGTGTCATAAATTGACGCCCCTAGTCGCCGTGTACCTAAACGGAAGAATAATTTTTTTGTGGAATTTAGGATGATGTGATGAATGTACAAGTGTTGATGCATAGGGTACAAGTGGAGTAGTGAGGAGTAAGGACATATCTTTGTGAATGATAAGGGGGACAAGTGGGGTGAGATTGTATGCCACTATGAAAGATGAGATTGGCTAGGTGCCCACTAATGGGGTCCTCTAGAAGTTGGTGATAATAACCATTAACCATAGATGCTAAAGAAAAAGAGTTGGTAGGATTTAGACAGATTTAGGATTTTGCTAATTAAGATTACTAGTAATCATGGATGTTTTATCTAATCATGTTACATGTCTAACTTTCAATTCATTCTACTTGATGTTGTTTTGTCTGATTCACACTCCATCAAAATCTAATTTGATTTTGATATCATCTCTCCATTCATGTCTCACATATCAGACATTGTACTTGGACACAAAAATAAATCCATCTCTACCAAATCTTCACTTGTTTGTAACAGTCTATTTATTTCGTTATTCCTATTGTTACAACTTATTCATAAATAAATAATGTTGATTTTGACTAATAAAGTTATAGGGTATTATTTTAAGATGATTTTGTTGCTAATAATATAACTGTTGGTTATCTCATGTTTATCTTGAAATTATTTTGTTAACTCATAACTTTCTTTTCGTAATTATTACTTTATTTTAATGCATGTGTATGTCGTGCAAATGATGAAAGATACCATCCATATTCAACGGTGGCTTTTATTACCACCGTTTAATTCATTAACATCATTTTTCTTATTCCCTAAAACCAGACATATTCCAATTAGATCCTTATCGACCCACATACAAAAACAACAAAAACCATTGAAGAGATAATTTGTGATGTTAGTATAAAAATAAACAATATAATTACTAGTACTAGTTTAGGTATATTTTTTTGGTTAATCAGGTATTTTATGTTTGAAATTGTGACTGATACCCGAATTAAATTATATATCAGGTTGGCTGATTTTTTATACATGTACCCTAAATCCCTAATTACATAATTAAGAAAAATAATAATTACATAACTAAGAGAAAAAAAGAAGCAACCAAGCCACTTTAGCAAAGAAACGTGGGACTAGAAAGAAAAGAGTAAGTGGACATATAAAATGAATAAACAATGGCAACCAATTTGATTAATAGAAGCTTATGTTTATAGTCAACATATGCCATCAAATAGAAACGAAAATATTTTAATATATCAACTTGTTTTGTACTTGAAAGATGTATGAAATGAAGCCTTGAAAAGTGAAAACCACGAAATCCCTTGAAGATGAAAAAAAAAAAAGTTAAAGGTTAAAAACTTGATATGCTTATAGGAGTAGGTTAAATAAAAGGTTAAAAACTTGATAACGAATGTCGGTCATCTATTTTAAAATGCTATTTTTCGAAAAAAATTCCAAATATATCAAAAAGTTTGATTTTTTATTTTCATTTATATGGATATAAAAAGTTTGAACTATTCCCAAAATAGATCGTGAATTTGTTTTAGAGTAAATTATTGAAATCATCTCTTTGGTTTGGTCAAAATTGCACGTTTGGTCCCTAACTTTTTTTGCACTCGGATCATCCCTGTGGTTTGATTTTGTTGTATTTTTCATCCCTGTGGTATGATTTTGTTGCATTTTTCGTCCCTTACATATATAAAGTTAGGGACCAAACATGCAATTTTTACCAAACCATAGGGACGAAAAACGCAACAACATCAAACCACAGGGACGATCCAAATGAAAAAAAAAAGTTAGGGATCAAACGTGCACTTTTGACCAAACCACAGGGATGATTTCAGTAATTTACTCTTTGTTTTAAATGATGAATCAAATAAGTTCTACCTGAAAATCTGAAAAAAACTCGTAAAGCTTGTGCAAAGTGCCAAAGTCACTACTATGAAGAAAGGTGAAGATTATATCCATAAGTACTTATTATGTTCTAGACAACATTTGAACTAATAAAAATAGTTGATAGTATAAAAACGGTAATAATAAAACTCATAATCACGCATCAGAATTATTGGTTCTCAAGCTTGCGTTAATAAAATTCAAGATGAACCATGAGGATAAGGTTATGTTATATGCTCTTCAAGATAATGAGATAAAACCATAAACGATAAAATGTTATCATGAAGATTCACATATCTTAAATTCTCAAAGGAAGATGCCATATTCTCAACATCAAGTTAATGTATAGCGTTCATAAAATTCAAGATGAACCATGAGAATAAAGTCATGGTATATGCTCTTCAAGATATATAGATAAAACCATAATTGATAAAATGTTATCATGAAGATTCACATACGTTAAATTCTCAAAGGAAGATGCCATATTCTCATATCAAGTGGTCCATGAAATATCTAACATAAACATACGTAACTCTAAACCATTCAAGTTATTATACAAATCTTGGGATGGATTTGACAAAGTAACATGATACCAATTCAATTCATTGGTGAATTTGATGAACACATGGTAATGATATATGAAGAAAGTGTACTTAACCAATACATAATTTTTGGAATAATTTATTTATTGAATCTATTTGTTACTATATAGTCATTTTTATATACTATAATTTCTCGTTTTTCTAGGTATTTTTTGATTTTCATGCCACTCATGGAATCAATGATTATAAACGGTTGTTATATTTGGAGCTTGTTTGCTTTCTACCGAATTGATAGATTTGTATAAGTGGTTGTTACCGGCGTTTTAAGAAAACCTTTGGTAAATAAGTGAATATATATTTTCAAGGATTAAGATCCTTGTATCATAGAAGCTATTCTACTTGTCTTCCTAACTACAAGACATCGTGTATAAGTGACAGATTTATTGTCGAGTTAAATACATATATGATGATCTTGTTATATTGAATCATTTGTTTATTTTGATTCATTTTCCCGAATCAAAATCTATTTTATTATAAATTTTCTTAATATTCCATCACAGCTTCACTCTAATCTAACAAAGTCTAGTATTAAATCATTTAAATAGTTTAATTTGGAATCAAATGGTAGATATTAATGTTGTTTTGAGAAAGAAGGGTGGTTGATCATGGATAAATTGATGTTAACTAACAAGTGATTTAATTAATTTTTGAGTAAATTACACGAATGGTTCCTATGGTTTAGGGTAATTTGCGTGTTTAGTCTCTAACTTATTATTTTATTTTTATTTTTTTTAATTCGGAAGGTCCCAACTGTTTCTTTTTTTATCTTACTTAAAAAGACTATTTTTCTTTTGATTTATTAATTAATTAAATAAATATTCCTCCACCCCACCCTATTAACCTTAATTTTTTCTATTTAAATAATAGTTTTTTTAGGTAAAACAGGGATCAAGAACGTAATAAAAAACAAATAGTAGGGACCAAAAGCGTAACAAAAACAAACAGTAAATAAGTTAGAGACAAAATACGCAAATTACCCAAAACAAATAGGACCATTCCTGTCATTTACTATTAATTTTGTCACTCCTGAAAAATGGATTATGCAAATTATAGAAATTGGGCGATTTCAATTTGCAACTTTGATGAGAACCAGATCAAGAGTGGATTGGGTTTCGGGGTTGGGTCGGTTGTTTATACGTATACCCAAATTGCATAACATAGAGCTAAGAAAAAAAAAGCAACCAAACAACTCCACTTTAGTAAACAAACGTGGAACTGAGATGAAAGAAGAAAGAGTAAGTGGACAGATAAAATCAATAAACAATGATAACCAATTTGATTAACAGAAGCTCATGTTTATCGTAAAAAAAATGTGCCATCTTAGAGAAAATGAAAACTCTTAACCTTGGGTATATAAGCTTAGGTACCAAAACTCATCATATATATATATATATATAAATTCAGATTCATTTGAGACCATTTTAATTTTATGAGACCGTGAGATCAAATCTAAAAATAATTTTAAAATGCAAAATAAATGGAAAAATCCAAAAATTCTTTTTTTAAATATTATTTTCGAACTTGAACTAACTAAAAAAAATCCCGTTTTTTTTTTTGAAAAATACGTGAAATATTCTAAATAGAATATTACACTGATATATTCTAAAAAATAATTTTAAAATGCAAAATAAATGGAAAAATCTAAAAATTCTTTTTTTTTAAATATTATTTTCGGAATTTGAATTAACTAAAAAAAATCCTATTTTTTTTTTAAAAATACGTGAAATATTCTAAATAGAATATTATACTGTACATATTCTAAAAATAATTTTAAAATGCAAAATAAATGGAAAAATCAAAAAAAAAAAATTAAATATTATTTTCGGAACTTGAATGAACTAAAAAAAATAGAAAAAAATAAAAAAATGCGTCTCACGGTCTCACAAAATTAGGCCGTCTCACATGAACCTAACCCTATATATATATATATATATATATATATATATATATATATATATATATATATATATATATATATATATATATATATAAAAGGTTGAGATCGGTTGAAAATTCATAGTTTTCCGAGAACCTGAGAACTAAATGTGGAACGTTAGATCAAAATTAATTCATACTGGGCATGATCGTAATTTTACCGATCTCATTTAATGTTTATTTTTTGTGTTATTGGACAAAATTAACATAATAAATCAAATTTTGGATTTTAATAATTTTTTTAAATGGAGTTTTTTTTTTTTAATTTTTTTTTTCAGAAAACATGAATTTTTTAAAAAAATTAAAAAATGTAATTTTAAAAAAAGTGCAAAAGTTTTCAAAAAAAAAAACTCCATTTTTTTTAAAAAAACTGCTTATTTATAAAAAAAAAACTGCATTTAAAAAAAAAGTGCAATGTTTTTTTTAAAAACAAGAAAAACCTGCAATTGTTTTATGAAAAAAACTGCAATTAAAAAAAACTCCAATTGTTAAAAAAAACTGCAATTTTTTCAAAAAAAAAAAAAAAAACTGCAATTTTTTATAAAAACAACTATTTTTTTTGCTTAAAAAGTTGCATTTTTTTTTCAAAATAAAACTGCAATTTTTTCTTATACTATAATATTCGTAAGTAATCATAAAAGATCTTATTTTTATTAATCAATCTATAAACATAATGGTACAAATATTTTGTTCGATACAAAATAATATATAAAAAATAAAAAAAGCTTCAAAGATTCACAATGTTATCATTTCTTCATATTAAGATTTCCATATATATTTTTTTTCAATTTATCACTTTTTGCATCTTCAAAATTTTCCACAAATTCTTTCAAAACTATAAGAAAATAAAAAAAAATGATTAATGCAAGAATACTCACAAAAATACATATGTATATATCATGTAAGATTCACATTCGATTATATAATGTAATATTCACATGTGATTGTATCTTTTAAAATTCAAATGTAAAATTCATAAGTAAATAAAAATGAAGAACATTCACACAAAATTACATGTGATTCATATGTGAATTACATGTGATTTATATGTGAATCACATGTGATTTATATGTGAATCACATGTGATTCATATATGAATCACATGTAATTCATATTTGATTCACTTGTGAATTACATGTGATTCATATGTGAATTACATGTGATTTATATGTGAATAACATGTAATTCACTCATATTTCATATGTGATTTGCTTGTGAATTACATGTGATTTATATGTGAATTAGATGTTATTTATACGTGAATCACATGTGATTTATATGTGAATAACATGCGATTTATGTGTGAATCATATGTGATTTATATGTGAATCACATGTAATTCATATGTGATTCGCTTATGAATTATATGTTATTCATATGTAAATTACATGTGATTTATATGTGAATCACATATAATTCATATGTGAATTACATGTAATTCATATGTGAATTACATGTAATTTTTATCAATCAGACATGTAATGTAACTAACTGTCTAGGTTACTGTAAAGGAATTACATGTGATTCAAGAACAATAATTAATCAATAAAAAAGGAACGATTTTAGTAACTTTTTTTAATTCTTTTTTAAGAAATGAATTTTTTTTAGTCAACTTGAAAATTACCTACGTTTTGACTTTGAATCATAAATAGCTAATAGTTAAAGACGTAAAGATACTTTAGACATACATATTTGGTCTGTAATTTGCAATCACAAAATAAACAAAATGTAGCTAGTTGTACCTGTGCCTTCTGGGATGGTGTAATCCAACATCATATAGTTGTTTGTGATAATATTTCCAACTATATGAATGTTTTCCGGTAATAATTGAGTGCAATTTAAAGAGCCCATCCATCAATCACAAAAGCCACATCCTGCAACAAAATATATACATACCTTCTAATTAAATTTAAAACAAACAAACAAAACAAGTAATTGCATCAATAATAAATGTAAGTCATTTGTTACCTTAGGTTCTTCTTTTGTTATCTTCATTGTAAGAAAAATTCTTTCCATATTTCTATAAACTTCATCTTTTGTTTTTCCATTAACTAATAAAAGTTGGCCTTTTAACTAATAGAAGTTGGCCTTTGGATTCTGTACATGATTGAAACATAATGAAATTTGAAAACTACAAACAAATCATAAAATTCTAAAATTTAATCAAACATGGAAAACTATCAAATTCCTACTCAAGATACGAGTAAACTCAAGAAATAACAACATAATTTTGTTCATTTGTTTACTTTATAATTGAAAAACAAATTGAAATGGTAAAATCCTAAGAAAATATCATGGATTATTAGAAGTGAACAAAGGAATGCAAAGTTGTATACTTGTATTAAGCCAATCTACCTTAAAATTAAAGCAACCTAATCATATCAATCCACACAGTTCTTTCCTTAACAAAAAAAACCCATTTACAATCGGCCTAAACAAAGAGAAATAGGCCTTAATACCATTACATTTCTTGAACTTGGCGCAAACCTCTTCAGAAAAAAAATGTCAAATATACCCGATCACTAGCAACATACTTGATTTAAAGATCATCAAAACCTTTTTCTTTCAATAACACAAACAAATTTTGAATCAACCTAATATCCCTGATTTTCGCAAACACCGAAGCCTTTAAGGACAGATTTCCCAGACAAAGTACAAACATTAGGTTTAGGCCCTTTCATCCCATGCATACCCTTGCCCCCCATAACCACAGTCACATAGGATCCAAGCCCCTGCCCATTAAGTTTCGACACCACCTGATCACCATGCACATGTGAATTAGACAGCCCCGTATAATCAAGTTCTTGTTGAAAACGTGCTACTGAAGCAAATAGATGGTATGAACCCAACCAAATATCTCTAATCTTACTTTCCAACAGTTTCTCATCTGACACTTTAATGAAACGAACAAAGGCAAAATGTTTACCTAATTTGGATAGCTTCTTTGCAATGTAAACATCAACCACAATCCCCACCTTCACACATGCATCCCATAATTCCTTCACTCCGAAATCAACAGGAAAATTCGTCACATAAAACGGGGAAGAAACCTTTTCAATCAATTGTCGGCTGCCGACCTGAGTCCGAGACCGATTCCCAGACTCATTCCCAACCATCAGTGGCGGAGCCAGGGTCAAAACTAAGGGATATCCCAAACCGATGGGTTCGGTTTCTCGGTTTTTCAAACTAGGTTTCGGTTTAAACCAAATCCATTCGGAAGTTTAATTGGTTGAGAATTAAGAAGCTTATGTTGCTTATATAATAGTTATATATGAGTTATGTTTCATTTATGGCCGATGTGGGAAAATTTTAGAATTTTAAAAAACAAATTGAAAAAATAATAAACAAAAATAAGTAAACCAATGTAAGCATGCCAAGATTCGAAATTAGAACCTCGAATATAAAAGTTTAGCACTTTACCACTTAGAAAACTCAATATTTGTGTTTAATTTTCACAACAAAGAGCTAAGAAATAAATGAAGAAAAATGTTTGAAAGAAGATTTGAACTTGCAACCTCCAATAGGATTCCCTAACACCTTAACCATCTGAACCAAGTATAGTTTGTATTATTATCACGCTAAATATATTAATATTATGTAAAAATATACTACATAAAACGAAAATTTTCTAAAAAATTAAAACTAGCGAATTATTTTTCAGGGGTATCCCGGGATACCCCAGGATCTATTATAGATCCGCCCATGCCAACCATCGATGTCGCCAAAAATAATCCCAGGAGAAAAAAACAAAAAACCCCTACGTTTGATCCCGCGGGAGAATGAAGAAGTCGACGGAAAGAGAGACCCAAAATGGCCGGACCTTTAGGGTTTCTTGATTATTTTTTACAGACGGTGGTTATTTTGGTCTTTTACTAAAATAATGGTCAGTTTGTAATATGCATTTATAAAAAATGATCATTTGACTATCTTATTTTAATTTTCTAACTTATGAGAATTTTACAAATAATTCATAACTTAGCAAAAACTTGGCCATTAATTTAGAAAAGTGAGATACTTTTAACAGATTTTTAAGCTTCCAAGATTTCAAGATTTTATGTCATTTCCATTAAATTTGATTTTGTAAAAACTTGTAACAACTCAAGATACCCAACATCACCATCTATTATATCATTTTAGGACTACCAGACATGTGGTTTTCACAAACTTACAACGCACACCTCACTACAAGAACCCTATACTACTCTCAATAATAGTTCACTCAACCTAATCTAAAAGATGGATAAGAACAACAAACTTATATTGCTAAATACAGAGAAAATCTTGAATATCAAGTAAACTTTAAAATGAGGGAAAACGAGAGGGTTTGAGAGCTGAATAGAATGAATAATGACTCATCACAAGCTGCTTGAACCTTTAAGTATCCGGGTCACCTTCTACCCGATGACCTGCACACTAACCCGAGCTAAAAAATAAACTTAACACATTCACTCCTTCAACATTTCAATATTACCTGAAACACCCTTTTATAAAACAAACTAAACAATACAAATCAAAATGTTAGTTTGAAAATAAACATTATAAATTTTAACAATCCCCTTCAAACTAAACATTTTGAAAACAATTACTTAGTAGAAAAAGGATCAACCAAACAAAGCTTATCACTAAGAATCTCATGTTGTGAAGACACAAGAGACTAAGTGAATATATCTGCAACTTGATTAGAAGAACTAATTTTAACCAATTTTACAACTCCTTTTACAAATTTCTCCCTTATAAAACGAACATCAATCTCAAAATATTTGGTCTTATCATGAAACACTAGATTCATAGCTAACTTGATAGCCGACTCATTAGCACAAAAAATATTTATAGGAATAGAAACATTAAAACCAATATCATAAGGAATTTTCAGAATCCAGATTAATTCACATGATAAAGAGCTTAAAACTTTGTATTAAGACTCTGTAGAAGAACGCGATATTGTAGTTTGTTTCTTACTTTTCCAAGAAAGAGGTGAATTACCAAAAAAAAACACTACATATCCAGTTACAAATTTTCTAGAAAACAACCTTTTTGCCAAACCAGCATCAGAAAATCCTTTTAATAACAATTAATTAGACTGAGATTTCAAAAAACTAACACCTTTACTTGGAGTGAGTTTAAGATAACTTAATAATCTCATTGCAACCTGAAAATGAGCTTTAGTAGGCTTATGCATATACTGACTCAAAACATGCACAACATATGCAATATCAGGCCTAGTAATAGTTAGATAAATAAGTTTACCAACTAATTTTTGAAAATCAGTAATATTTTCTACCTAAACATTTTTGCTATCATCGAAAACAACATTTGACTCAAGAGGAGTCTTGACAGGCTTGCAACTCAACATACCAAAATCATGTAAAAGCTCCAAACAGTACTTTCTTTGACACAAAAAAATTCCATTTGGAATATTAACCACTTCAATTCCCAAAAAATATTTTAACTTCCCCAAATCTTTTATAAGGAACTGTGATTTCAAAAAATCTTTTACCTTTGTTATTTCATTTTCACAATTTCCTGTAACAATAATATCATCAACATACACCAGAAGTATAACAACCAACTTCCCTGAAACCTTAACAAACATAGAATAATCATTATAAATCTGTTTAAAACCAAAACTAATTAAAGAATTACTTAATTTTTCATTCCACTTTCTTGGTGCATGGTTTAAGCCAAATAAAGACTTTAACAGTTTACAAACTCTGTTGTCATTTTTACTATGATAACCAGGAGGTAATGACATATAAACATCCTCTTCTAGTTACCCATACAAAAAAGCATTATTAATGTCAAACTGATACAAATTCCAATTAGAATTTACAGCCAGAGTAAGAACAACACGTATAGTAACAATTTTGGCAACAGGAGCGAAAGTCTCCTCATAATCAATACCTGCCTTTTGATTATAACCTTTAGACACTAGCCTAGCTTTATATCTTTCTATTTCTCCATTTGCTTTATACTTTATTTTATAGATCCAGCAACCACCTATAGGTTTCCTATTGTTAGGTAAATATGTTATTATCCATGTATTATTTCTATACAAAGCTTCCATTTCCTGATTCATAGCTTTAACCCATTTAGGTTTAAGAGATGCCTCATAAAAGGCTTGAGGTTCAACAGTTTTATCAAGATTAGAAACAAAACACTTATTTTCAAAAGTTAACTTTGAATAATGAAGAGTTTTTTCAATGCCATATTCATATTTTCCTTCTACAATATAATCACTGAATTTAGATCGAAGTCTAGTTTCTCTTCTTGTACGAGAAAGTCCAATATACTAAGTATCAGAAGAACTAGGAACAAAAGAATTATTTTCCTCAGTCCTGACAGAAGAGTCAGGAGAACTAATAGAACTAGGACCAGACCCATCAAATAAAGGCACATTGTACTCTTCAATTCTCAAACTAGTATCTGGATCTTTTCCTGTAGGATCTGTTCTACTAGGACTTCAAGGAGAACTAGCAACATCTAGATGATGATCTAGTCTCTGAGTTCTACTAGACACACCATCATCAACATAATTTTCAAAAGATACAGGATCATCATATGAAAATTGATCAAACCCACTAGAAACATCATTAGGTCAACTAAAAACAACATTTTGCATTCTGAATGGAAACACAGACTCGTAGAACTTAACATCCCTAGAAACAAACATATAATTTGAATCAAGACTCAAGACTTTATATCCTTTCTTATCTAAAGAATAACCCATAAAGAAACATTTTTCAGAACGAGGAGAAAACTTGTCGCAACCCCAAACCAAGGATGGCGGAAACGTCCGCGGGTGGCGGAATTCATTTATAGTATCACAACAACATGTATAATAGTGATTAAATCAATACAACCAACCATAAATATAATCGAAAAAGAATTATATGGTTTCAAGTGTTACGTATTTCAATGATTGATTACAACATGGAAATAAAATAGTTCAACGCCGTAGCGTTCCATCCTCAAAAGCTTGTGGTTACTTGATTTCGTTGATTTCCTGAGAATACAAGTATTTTTGAAAAGCGTCAACAATTAAGTTGGTGAGTTCATAAGCTTTTAACTGTGATGCTAAAATCCTTTTCTTTGTAAAAGTGATGTTTGTTCAAGAAAAATCTAATATTTCCCTTATAAAATGTATTGTAGTCTTAAAATTCAAGACCGAAATGTACAAGTATTTTTCCATACTTAAAGAACTTTTATACAAATTTAAATTGACCTAAACTTGTTAAATTTAAAAGTAAGAACCCGTAAATCGTATGTTTTGTTAATACCCCATGTGAGTTATTATAACCATACTATGACCTGTCGGCCTCGTAATACGACGTTCTTCAGGCGTCGCCAGTTAAATGACGCTTGTCACCACAGACCTGCCGGTCTAGCTGTTGCATGCAGCTCAGGTGCGGGTTGTTAGACCCATTATAGATCTATACACAACTATTATGTTCTCCCTATAAGAGACTCTGGTTACAATTTATAGGATTTTTGACTTTGTTACTTTGGAGGTAACGCAAAGCGAATGTCTCACAAATTTATTCATTAACAAATTTACGTGAACTGAACTGAAAAACCCTTTTTGTATAAACCCGCTACTTTGTATTCATACCCCATTTATATGAACTGAAAACCCCTTTTTGTATAAACCCGATACTTTGTATTCGTATCCCATTTATATAAACTGAAAACCTTTGGTAATGAGTTTGAAATGTAATTGAAACATAAACTATACCTATTATAGTTTATCATAACTGTTTGTAATGTATATGAAACATAAACTATACCTATTATAGTTTATCCAAAACGTTTGTAATGCAAATGAACCCCATTTTACGTGAGTCGAATGTATAGCAAAAACATAACTATGTTTATCATGCCTCATCTTGTATTATTTGTAATGAAAAAGGAGTCTTACAAATCAGTGGGTAATTTACTATTATATAATTATACCACAATGGAAAACATAGGTGAAATATGAAATCATCAAAGATTAACACTTTGCTCAACATGTTACAAAGTGTGATGAAAGTTGTAAGTTGTTAACTTGTTTTTAACATTTTTGCACTGTTTTGGAAAAATCACAGAAAAATCATACGACGTCGAAAACTAGATCCGT